AGTCTCGGGGACTACGCCCAGTGGGTGCACTTTGCGTGCCCCCACTGGTTCGGTTTACACTCGACACGGCCAGGCCAGATCGAGCGAAAGAATCAAAATACAAAGACTACAGTCGACTGCCAGCAGTCCACCGTAGTCTCGGGGACTACACCCAGTGGGTGCACTCAGCGTGCCCCCACTAGTCCAGAAATTCAATCGACACACCCAGTGGGTGTACAGATGCGAAGATTTTCGGAAAGAGAGTCTTCAGATAGCATATCTTAATAGAACAAGCGGTGACCAACTAACCTGAACATTGCTTTGGAGAGCCGAGCTAGCGTCATAGGCGGCCTGACTGGCGTCCCGCACCGCCTTCATCTTCTCCATCATAATGCCCGCCTGGCGTATGGCTTCCTTGGCAGCATTCACTTCATCCTCTGGGACATGATGGATTGCAAAAACTGAAGGTGGGTCGGCAGGAGCTTGAGCAGTCAACGAAGAAGGCAGGGCACTCGACAATGGTACGACGAAGGTAATAGAACCCCGATTGGCATCACTAGCATCCTGAACGACTGGTTCCACCATCGGCATCGACTGTGGCACCCTGCTTGCAGGAGGTTTCCTATTTTTCCTCGTCAAAGGCCTCTCAGGCTCTTCATCATCATCATCGGGGAGGTCAATAATGTTAGGAGCTGTTCAAAGATCAATCGACAAAATCACATCACCCAATGGTACACATTGCAGTTGAGTCGACCAAATAAAGACAGAATGACAGAAATCATACCCAGATTGGAAGTGACTGCATCCTCCATTACCTCATCCTCATCCCTGTAAGCCGAGGTCCCGGAAGTAGCAGCGCTGCCAGTTCCAAAGTTCGTCTGGTTAAATCAAGAAAAAATAAATAGCACGGAGCGTCGAGCGAATACAAAGGGAGACACTCACGCAGAAGCGATGGGGATGTCAATCTTAATCTTCGGCAACGCCTTCCGAGGCTTCTGCTCTGCAACTTTGGGATGCTTTCACGCTTTTTTAGTTGGGGTTGGTGAAGATGTCCGAGGACGCTTTGAAGACTGACCAGTCTGAGCAATCACCTTTTCACGGGTGCTCGGTCGTTCTTGGTCAAGCTTGGATCGCCTCTCCCTGCGAGGAGGCGACTCGACTTCTTCTTCGTCACTTGAGTCATCGCTTTCTTCATCCCCTTCTCCTTCAGAATGCCATTCGCCACTGTCGCCGCCGCTCGCCTCTCCTTTCGGGTCTTGCTCTTGCTCTCCGTTGGGCATTGAGTACATTTCGATAAGGGCCTGAAAGAAAGCAGGAAGAATAAAGTCAGTCGACGCAGTATAGACAGCTGCGTGAGTGAATTCAGATTATAATCAAAAGCTCAGAATCGGACCTTTTCTGGTTCATGGGACTGGTCGAATGGAGGAACTCTCCAGGCTCCCCTAGGGTTGTCCTTGTTTCCGGTGATGCCCGACAGCTACCCCTCCAGTGGGTTGTCATCGACCTCCTCCGGGTGAATCCGAGTGGTGTCGTCAAGACCTGAATACATCCACATCGGATGGTCTCGAGCTTGAAGAGGCTGGATGCGCCGCCGAAGGAAAACCTCCAAGAGATCCATACCAGTGACCCCATCACGGATAAGCTAGACTCGTTCGACCAGCACCTTAACTTGCACCTTCTCCTCCAGGATCACCTTCAAAGAGGAGGGTTTCCTCACTCGGTCCATGGTAAAAGGAGGGAGGCCAGTCGACTGCCCTGGCGTCGGCTGGTCTTTGCAGTAAAACCAGGTCGACTGCTATCCGCAGACCGAGTTGGGAAGAATCGTGGCCGGAAAGGAACTTTTCCCTCTCATCTGAACACCAAGACCCCCACACATCTGAATCACTTGTGTTCTCTCATCACTCGGATTGGCCTTTTTCACCGTCTAAGAACGACAGGTGAAAATGTGCTTGAAAAGACCCCAGTGAGGCCGACAACCCAAGAAATTCTCGCACAAAGACACGAAAGCAGCGAGATACACGATTGTGTTGGGAGTGAAGTGGTGGAGTTGTGCCCCAAAGAAATTCAGAAATCCCCGAAAAAAAAGGGTGAGGAGGCAAGGAAAACCCACGGTCGACGTGGGTGGCAAGGAGAACGCGCTCACCCTCCCGAGGTTGCGGCTCGGATTCCTTCCCCGGAAGCCGCGCCGATCCACGGGGGATCAGTCCTCCGTCGGCTAGGTCGTCGAGGTCTTCTTGGAGGATCGTCGAGCGGATCCAGTCGCCCTGGATCCAGCCCTTCGCCAGGCCGGCTCGTGAGGAAGATCCACCCCGACTGGTCGCCTTCCCCTTCGCCTTTGTCGTCGCCTTCTTCGCCCGCTCCAGAGCCACCGTCTTCTCCTTCCCCATCGTTGCCGGCGAGACACGTACGGAGCAGCGGTGCTGGAGCGAGAGCGAGCGCGACGAAGAAGCCCGAAGAGAAGAAGAGGAAATGAGAACGCACTGTTCAAGAAACCCCGGTCCGACGCCTTATATGAGGTTACTTCCGAGTGGCTGACTGGTAGGCCCGGACGATCCTGTCAAATCCCACAACAGTCGCGCGCGCGATACGTGGCGAAAAAGGTGGCGTGGAGATCGAGGCGGCTCCGCCCTATCCCATCCGATTACTGCGGCCTCCCCCGTCCCGTGCGCTTCCTAAAATTCGAATCCCGCGAAATCCGCGGGCAGCAGAACAACTTGTCAGACAGAAGATCTCCTCCACACCGTCACTCGAGGCCTTTCAAGTAAAGAAACTCACTCGACAAAAAACTAAGAATGGATCAAGGCGACTGAAAAGGAAGTTGCTGTCGTCACTCAGGTTCATTGATCCGAAACAAGATATGCTCATGGCATGAAAAATGACTCGGAGAAGTTCTCAACTCCTTCACCACTCAAACCTCGATCCATTCGGGGGCTAATGATGAAGCTATGTACCTAGGGTAGGGTCATGGACCTGTCCTAACTGTCCTACCCAAGGACATCTCTAGAAGAAATCACCTTTCAATCATCTTGTAGGTGTTCCACTCGACAGACTCGAAGACACCCGACCAAGAAGCAATCACTCGACCAAGATCCAACCACTCGACGGCCAGGAGACCTAAAGTCACTCCGCATGCTAATGATCGGTCATTAAGTAGCTTTTATGGTCATCATAGCACTTTATTAGGGGCGTTACCAGTAACGCCCGACCTTAATGTACTTAAAACCCTGCATAACTGAGGGCCGGAGGGGTCTGGCGAACTCTATATAAGCCACCCCCTCCTCAGTGTAAAGGGTTCGCACCCCTGTGATTCATACACACGTAATCCAGTCGACCGCCTCCGGGCTCCGAGACGTAGGGCTATTACTTCCTCCGAGAAGGGCCTGAACTCGTAAACCTCGTGTGCTTACAACTACTCCATAGCTAAGATCTTGCCTCTCCATACCTACCCCCCTACATTACTGTCAGACTTAGAACCACGACAACACCGGCGGCCAGTGAAGACGGCAACGACGGGGACGGCAGGAACGCGCGGGCGGCGTTTTTTTGTTTTGTTTTATATATATTATGGAATTGGGCCGTTTAAGTGGACCGTGAAACTGGGCCCTTTTGTGGCCATGACCCTTAAATATGTTTTAATTTTTTTAACCGCGTTTATTTATCTTTTTAGACATTTTGTTTAAGTTTGTTTTTTGTTTTTTTTAACACATCCAACCCGAACATGATTTGTGGTGCGGCCGCATGTTGGGCACACCCACGATCCAACGGACAAACGTGGACATATATGAACCCATTACCGTCCCAAAAGAACAAAATCCAGTCAAACCAAATATCCGTTTGAGATCGCGCGGTTGATCAGTCTCGCCCTCTAAAGCACCAACGCTCTGGTCGTCGGTCAAGCCAAGGGCCTGTCATTTCCACCACTTATCCATATCCAGCACCAAGTGTCACCAGACCAGACGGTGGTTTTTGGGTCCTACCACTGCGTACACATGGCAACCACCACCAATTACTGCACCCATAGTTTTCACCCAGCTTCTTTGAGTCTTGACGCGCGCAACCGTCAAAAGCAAACCAACCTCACCGGCTCACCCACGCTGTCGCTCAGCTCAGCTTCGAATCCTCAAACCGTGAAGCCACTCCCACCAGCGGCCACGGCATTGATGGACCTCTCACCAGCCAGCACGGGTGCCTATGGCGGAAAGGCGGCGGACGCGTACCGGAAGGCGCTCAGCTCAGCGGCCTCGGCCGCCGCGTACGCCGTGCTGGCGCGGAGCATGGCGCGTGAGCTCCTCCCGGACGAGCTGCGCGCCGCAGTGCGCTGGGCCACGTCCGTGCTCCGCGCGCGCCTCGGATGGGGCGCCAAGGAGCGGCGAACGCTCGTCATTCGCAGCCACACCGGCGGCGGCGGTCGCGAGGAGAATCTTCTCTTCGACGCGGCGCGGACCTACCTGTCCTCCAGGCTCGACCCGCGCGCCATGCACCGTCTCGAGCTCACGCTGTCCGCGACCAGGGACGATGGCGGCCTCAAAAGCTGGACGAAGCGCCTGTTCATTGAGCCCGGGGACTCCACCGTCGATGTCTTCGACGGCGTCGAGTTCATGTGGTCGTCCGTCCACAACCACAAGACAAACGGCGGCGAAGGAGGAAACAAGAAGTCCAAGAACGGGGAGTCCGCCACCGCCGAGTTTCTGCTCAAGCTCAGCTTCGACGCCAAGCACACAGACATGGCCATGGAGAGGTACGTGCCCTTCGTCATGGGGACGGCCGAGGAGACGAGGCTGCGGGAGCGTTCGCTCATGATCTGCATGAATGAGGGCCGAACATGGTTCAGGCTGCACCACCATCACCTCGCCACGTTCGACACGCTCGCCATGGACCCGGCGCTGAAGCAGTCCATCGTCGCCGACCTCGACCTGTTCGCCAGCAGAAGGGACCACTACCGGCGAATTGGCAAGGCGTGGAAGCGCGGGTACCTTCTCTACGGCCCGCCCGGCACCGGCTAGTCCAGCCTGGTGGCCGCCATGGCCAACCACCTCCGCTACAACATCTACGACCTCGACCTCAGCCACGTGCAGAACACAACGCTGCAGTGGCTGCTCCTCACCATGTCCGACAAGTCCATCCTTGTCATCGAGGACATCGACTGCTGCTGCGATGCCATGTTAAGGGAGGTGGACAGCAAGGAGAGGAAGACGCCGGCGAGGACTTGCAAAGAAGACGGCGGCGGCTCATCAGAAACTTCGGACGGTACGCCGTCGCCCAAGCTCAAATCGGAGGTAATTACGGACGTGCTCTTCCCCTGCATTGCTGCGTGAACATATTACGTACTATATACCTATCTCAATGTCCGTATGTTCACTTGTGCGTACGGCGAACTCAGATCACGCTCTCGGGGCTGCTCAACTTCATCGACGGGCTGTGGTCGACCAGTGGCGAGGAGCGCCTCATCGTCTTCACCACCAATTACAAGGACCGGCTTGACCCGGCGCTGCTGCGGCCGGGGCGCATGGACATGCACGTCTACATGGGCTACTGCTGCTGGGAGGCATTCAAGACTCTGGCCCGGAACTACTTCCTCGTCGACGACCACCCCCTCTTCCCGGAGATACAGGAACTGCTTATGGCGGTGCAGGTGACGCCGGCCGAGGTGTCCGAGATGCTGCTGAGGACCAATGAGCCTGACGTCGCGCTCCGGGGTCTCACGGAGTTCCTCATAGAGAAGAAGCAGGGACAGAGCAAGATGGAGGAAGTGCATGAAGAGAACTAAGCAGGGAGAGTATGATCCAGGGAAGGAGTAACTCGACTACAGCGCACATCAAGAACTAGCTTGCTAGTCTAGGAATTAGCCGATCTAACGAATACGTTTGTTTTGCAAATGTCTCGTGGTCGCATTATCACATTGCTGCAAGATTATTATTACTACTCTTCATGTGTAGCATCATTTGTGCACATGCTCTTTAGATCGATCTTTGATCAAAGTTATGCCGGCACTCTCTACTGATGCGTAGCTTCTTTTTCTGAACCGCTGGATGCATAGCTTGATGCGTGATTTAGTTCTTTTTGTTTGGAGGAAGAAGCTATTAGATTTTACGCGCCTTGGCCCAATATAAATCTTGTATCTCAGTCTAGCATTTTCTTTAAATCTCAAAGACCAGTCGACTTGTATGTCATATGTGTAAATTTAGTCTCACACTGCTGGTTGAGTAGAGAAAACTGTTGGCTTACGGATCGTATCGAGAGGTGGTAGCCACTAGATCAAACAACAAAGAACAAAGACAGAAGAGTTTTTGGGCTGCTCAACCCACAGTTTTTTCGGGGCTTTTTATTTCACTTATATAGGGCTCAAAGAGCCGACCTCACGTCCAACATGGCCTACGATACTTGCCCAACATGATGCAACCCTGATCACAAATCGATCAGGTTTAAACTTGCCTTCTATCTCTTAAGAGATTGAAGGTACCACGACTCATAACAAAGCCTAAACTTGCACATGATACAGACTTGGAATGTAAACTTATGTTCTTATACATGGAACATAAACTTGCGACTTGGACATAAAACGTTAACTTTTAGTATGTGTTCACAGAGGCTTAAATTCACCCCCCCCCCTCCTCCCTAAACACAATAACCAAATGTTCAGTGGTAGGGTTCTTCATATATCTGCTCACAATTCCAACAGAGTAGCCTAGGTTAGCCATGTGTCCACCAAGTACCTTAGGCTTCCCACAATACTCATGTAATCTTCGAGTCCACGGTTGGCGTTTTACTCATCTTGCTCAACTTGAGTGTCGGTGTCAAAACCGGCGGATCTCGGGTAGGGGGTTCCGAACTGTGCGTCTAAGATTGATGGTAACAGGAGACAGGGGACACAAAGCTTTACCCAGGTTCGGGCCCTCTTGATGGAGGTAATACCCTACGTCCTACTTGATTGATATTGATGAATACGAGTATTACAAGAGTTGATCTACCACGAGATCGTAATGGCTAAACCCTAGAAGTCTAGCATGTATGACTAAGGTATTGAGTCTCCCCTATCCGGACTAAGTCCTCCGGTTTATATAGACACCGGGGGGGATCTAGGGTTACATAGAATCGGTTACATAATATGGAATCTTCATAGTTGTTCGCCAAGCTTGCCTTCCACGCCAAGGAGAGTCCCATCCGTACATGGGCGTAGTCTTCGGTCTTCACGTCTTCACAGCCCATCAGTCCGGCCCATAGATAACAGGCCGGATGCCCGAGGACCCCTTAGTCCAGGACTCCCTCATTGAGCCTAGCCTCCATGGGCACCTCAGGCTTCCCACAATACTCTTGTAATCTTTGAGTCCACGGTTGGCGCTTTACTCATCTTGCTCAACTTGAGCCTAGCCTCCATGGGCACCTTAGGCTTCCCACAATACTCTACTCTTGTAATCTTTGAGTCCACGGTTGGCGCTTTACTCATCTTGCTCAACTTGAGCCTAGCCTCCATGAGCGTCTATGAAGGATTGCACTCATTCATGCCGTAGTTCACCAACATCTTCATGGCATATGACTCTTGGCACAAAGTGATCCCATCTGTACTTTAATGTACCTCGATCCCAAGGTAATAGCTCAACAAGCCTAAATCACTCATTTTGAACAAATCCTTCATCTGTAGCTTGAATCTCCGAATCTCCTTCTCACTAGCACATGTGATCAGAAGATCATCAACATACACACCAGTGAGTAGACGACTTGTATCTCTTCCTCTTTTATACTCAAGTGAAACCAAATTATGATGAAGTTTAGTGTTCCAAGCTCTGGGCGTGTGTTTCAAATCTCACAAGGCCTTGTGCAACTTATATACTTTGTGTTCCTCTCTTGCTTGCTTCACATAACCAATGGGTTGCTTCACATACACCTCCTCTTCTAGATATCCATTTAGAAATGCAAATTTCGCATCCATGTGATGCAAAGTCCATCCTTCCTGAGCAGCTATTGCAATTAACAACCATACTGATTCTATGCTGGCAACTAGAGCAAACACCTCAATGTTAACACAATTCTCCACCTCAGCGATGATTGAACCATAGAACAAACACAATAAGGTTCATGATGCCAAAACCCCAATCTCCAAAGATTTATCTCCATATGAACAAATCAATAGGTGACATACTCGCCGCCTCTAATGCTCCACATGGGAGCTAGCTTAGGCATGCACAAATGCTCACCAAGTCCAAACTTGGCCTTTGGGACCGCCTTGCTCAACATATTTTGTACCGATCTTCTCAATATACAAAATCTTCTCTCTCACATGATGCCTAATGAAAAAACTTGCGCACATCAATACGCTTGGTTCTCTCATTGATCTTTTCATCTTTTGCAAGGTGAATCACACTTTCACTATCACAAGTCACAACACGATCAACTTCATTGCCAAAATCATCAAGAAAACCATGCATCCAAATGGCTTCCTTCACCATCTCTGTCACTGACATGAACTCAGCTTCTCTGGAAGACAAGGCAACTACATGTTGCAGGGTTGCTCTCCAGCTAACACAAGACCCACAAGCTGAAATACATAACCTATGAGGGAGCACCTCTAATCTTGATCTCTAGCAAGATCAGAATCTGAATTGCCAACAATTTGTCCCGGTTTAGTTGCCCTTTCATCAAACATCAAGCCATATTTACTTGTGTCGCGAAGGTACATGAGGATCCACACTAAAACCTTCCAATATTATTTTCTTGGTCTTGACACAAAATGGCTCACCACGCCAACTGCATGAGTTATAAAAGTTAGCTATAGCAAATAAGTTCACGAATTGGAAAAAATACTTCACACATTAGAAATTTTTCATGAAATTGAAAAGGATCGTGAATTTCAAAAAGTTCATTCGCTTGAAAAAAGTTCATACAATTTGAGAAAAATATACACAAATTTCAAGAAGGTTCACACATTAGAAAAAGTCCATGAATAATTAAGAAATATTTGTGACTTCGAAGAAGCTCACATTTTTTTAATACAAGCATGAATTTAAAAAACATTCATCAATTAAACAAAATCATGAATTTGAACAAAGTAATCGGTTTGAAAAAATATTCACAAATTTGAGAGCAAATTCATGAATTTGAAAAAATCACAAGTTAGAAAAAGGTTATGAATTTTAAAATATATATTTGTGAATTTGAAAACGTTCAGATTTTTATATCATGAATTTAAAAAGACTCATCGATTAGAAAAAAATATCACGCATTAGAGAAACTCTACGATTTTTTAAAAATATTTGTGAATTTTTAAAAGTGCACAAATTTCATGAAAATTACGAATTCAAAAATATTCATCAATTTGAAAAAAATCACAAAATATGAAAAATGTTAGTGTATTTGAAAAAGTTCAAGAAATTGAAAAAATATTTCACCAATTTGAAGAAAGTTCAACAATCTAAAAAATCATGAATTTGAATAAAATATCACGGATTTGAAAAACAAATGCAAGAATGAAAACCAAAAAAATAAGAGAAAATAAACACGTAAGATAACCCGAAAAGTAAACTAGAAAAGGGAAGAACACAAGTCCGGGAAACATCTAGAAGCTTCCATACTCATAATACGCGCGCGGGACGCGAGAACGGGCAATTCTATTTACCACCTGCAGGCGGCAAATAGGGATGGCATTGCTGTGAGAGCGTCCCACTAGATGACCCCAGTTGGGCCGTCCCATGCTGGCCGCTGTTTCTTCTATATATGTTTGTATTTCCTTTTGTTACATTTTTATATTTTTATTTTGTAGTTTTAATTTTACTTTTAGTTTTATTTTATTATTTTCTATTTCTTATGTATCATTCTAAAAGTTCACTGTGTATGACAAAAATATCACCATATCTTCAGAAAATGTTCACCATATATTAAGAAAAAGTTCACCGTGCATTATAAAATGTTCATCGTATCTACTATCTATCTACTACCACTATAAAAGCACGAGAGGACGGAGAACCAAATCATTCTATCTATCGAAACCTGCAATCCGATGGTCCACATCCTTCCAGCATACTAAACGCGTTTTATACTTTAATTACCCATCATGCCATTATGTTAATTAATTACCCATCATAATTAATTACCCACCGTACCATTGGGTTAACATCCTCACCAACACGTCGCTACCCTCTGCTCTCTCGCGACCACGCCCTCAGGGCAGTTTTCCATTGCCCAGCGCCTCACACTTCGCCCCACCTCTTCCCTCCCCGCCAGCCACCGCCTGCCTCCATCTGCATGCGCCGCCGGACCGCCGCGTCCACGCGTAGCCCGGACTGCCGCCCACGCTCCAGGCGCCCGGTCCGCCACGCCCACGCTTGAGGCGCCCGGGCCGCCCCGTCCACACTCCAGGCGGATCGCGGCACCCACGCTCGAGGCTCCCGGGCCGCCCCGTCCATGCTCCAGGCGGACCACGACGCCATAGCTCCAGGCGCCCGGACCGCCACGCTCACGCTCCAGCCGCTCGGGCCGCCGCGTCCACGCACTGCCCGGACACAGGCACCGGCGCACCGCCGGTCCTCCACACTGCAGGTGCTTTCCCCTCACATTCTTCCTGGTTGCAGTGACAATTTTTGGTTTAATTGTACGCATGTTCAATACTACTGCCTTCTAATTTCTGCTGCTGTGAGTTCTAGGCTTGCTGTCAGTTCTAGGCTTGCTTCATAGAGTGCCATAGTTAAAACAGATGCAAACATATGTATTGCAGTAGTGGACTGCATAATGGGATAGTTGTACATAATGGGAAGATGATTCCCATCCGTCTATCTA